TTTCTAATTTCTTTAATTTAAGCAATAATTTTTGTAAAGTTAGACTTTAAAAAAAAAAAAACATTAAAAGTCTTATCATTAAACTCTTAAAGTTTTGTAAGTGTAATATCTTTTTTTTTTTCAAATATGTATTTCTGAAATTCAAAATAGCTGCCTAATTAACTCTCAGTGATTCGTTGATTTTCAACTTTAGCAATAAAAATAAAACAAACGCCATTTCACGCGATGAGGACGACATTGTTTTTAAATTTTAAAACTCTTTCTAGGAAACAAATGGTTTACGTTTTGAAAAAGAAAATAATTAAATTATAAGTCAGCCAAAGTACGCCACTTCAACAATTGTCATAAAATCCGAATGTTAAGTTCTACGCCCATTCGGGCTGCCTTTATTAGTTCAAGAATGTGATGTTTCATGCTAGATAGTTCATGATTGATCAATATGATTTTGAACTTGCTGGCGCCAATTATTATGTTTTTAAAAGTGAAAGTCACGTGGGTGCAGTTACATTTCTAACACGTGCACGACAAACATTGCGCAAAGTTTAAAGTAAAATCCTAAAAATATCAAGCTAATAAACGTCACAATTCAGAGACATGTAAGGTTGAATGACGGTGTCATAGACATATAGTGCATTGCCCAGATTGGCTCCTATCAGCAACTATTTCCCATTCACCATCTACATAGGAAAGTGAATTGTTTGTGCGTGACATTACAACCCTTTTGAACGTTGTGTGTAAAAAAACCCAAAAAAGTTCACATCTCTAGGAGAGGAGCGTAGCTGGCCCGCGTAGATGTTAAAGTCACTAAAGGAAGCCTTCTTGCAAAATTTCACTTGCAAGAGAAATCGTTCCGTGAAAATGTCGACCTCAAGATTTTCAGATTTCTCCAGCATTCAGTGCAGGACAAGGTCAGCTCTGACCTGGTTTCAGAAAATTGTCGAGGATGTGGTCGAGAAAGAACGGCTGAGCATGTTTGATGAAATCAGTGCCGCTGGCGATGTTCAGCTTGTTAAGGAGATGTTCTCGGTTGGTTGTTGTGGTAGCTTTCTATTACTTTTTACTTTTCCAATATCGTAGTGATTTTCATTGAGTAAAAACATTGGGAGGTCCATTTATCTTGACACCCCCCCCCCAACCACACACACACTCACGCACACACAACTAGTGCGTTGCCTGTTTAATGAACATATCTAAAAGAGTATCGTGTAAAGGTGCATAATGTTGGGTAGCTTTGTAAAGCACGTGTTATGGCATTTGTGTAGGCCTAATTTTAGCGTTGTGGCCACCACGACTTGTCTCCCATTTGTTTTGTGTTTATAATGACGTCATCGAGGAAATGTGTGGTGCCACTACTTTTACCCACCCTCCCTTGATTTGGAAAAGGTTATTTACGTTCGAATACGATCTTTTTGTTCTAAAGATTGCTATCAGGTGACACAATGTTGTGATAAACACTATAAATATATATAAGACGACAGTTTTTCTGTCCGATAGAGATTATTGCTATAGTTCTCAGACGAATACGAGACGTCGATCCAACATTGCAAGATTGTACTCTTTACGTGTGTGTGTTTGTATTTTGTTAGGCTTGTACCTTTTCACTTGCTGTGCTGTAAGTTGATGAAGATTTTATTTCTGTATCGAAGTTGCATTATTTTTATAGAAATTTAATACTATAATTAAATCGAATGTTCTTACCATCACTATACCTTTGGTATCATTATTCCTTCCATGTTTCTTTTCTCAGTCTTTTGTTACGTTTTGTTCACGAGCCAAATCTTAAAACAGGTTATAATTTAAAAACCATATAACGGTGCGTAACATTGCGTCTTTCTCAATCTTTCGAGTCTATGTAGCCGCAACTTAACTGAAAAGGCTGACATTCACCTCAACCGTTTGGAGCTATAACACTGAAGCTGCCGTTAGCATAATGTAAAAATCCCGATCTAATTCAGTATAGGACTTTTGACGCCGTACGCTAAATTTTTCATGTTCGCAAAACAAGACATTTGTAGCCCCAATCAAGTAGATGTCTGATTCCCTATACGCAAAGGTCTTATTTCGTTCAATTTTTTAAAAGTTATTTTTTTTTCCTAAAAGGTGGTTTAACATTTTATTCCAAAAATCATTGCCAATGACGTTATTTCCAAGTACCTCGACTGTTGTTGCCCTAATGTGGCCTAAAGCATTACTATATAGCAAATTGACATCAATATTTTTAGATTTGTTTGTGTTTCTTATATTAATTATTTTAAGCATTATCTGAAATGGTTTATGACATGGAGTAACTGGACATTATCAATGCAAAGTTTTCCTTGAAGACTTCAATTCTTGCGCTATGTACTACTCCGTTATGACTTAAGTTATCGAGACACAGACAATTTATTTCTAATTCTACCTGTTTGGTTGTTTGCCTCTACGAAGTGGACCATTGTTCGTGGACTCTATACCTTTTAAAACAAACTAAAACTGTCAGGTCTCAGTGACACACTGTGACAGGTCTCATTAACACACTGTGCCAGGTCTCAGTGACACACTGTGCCACGTCTCAGTGACAGACTGTGCCAGGTTTCAGTGACACACTGTGCCAGGTCTCAGTGACACACTGTGCCAGGTCACAGTGACACACTGTGCCATGTCTCGGAGACACACTGTGCCAGGTCTCAGTGACACACTGTGCCATGTCTCAGTGACACACTATGCCAGGTCTCAGAGACACCCTGTGCCAGGTCTCAGTGACACACTGTGCCAGGTCTTAGAGACACACTGTGCCAGGTCTCATTGACACACTGTGCCAGGTCTCAGTGACATACTGTGCCAGGTCTCATTGATACACTGTGTCAGTTCTCAGTGACACACTGTGCCATCTTCTTAAAGTGCTTTCCCTGGTATATCTATAGCCAGCGTCAATCAATGAAAAACGTGGCCAGATTGGGTTATCCATTTCTTTTACACTCGTATATATAACTTACAAAATGGATTCAATGAGTTCCCCAAATGTATGGGGGACAATGTATTACATTTACTGAAGCACAAGAAACTTATGTTGTCCATTTCCTCTGCAGTGTGCCCAGAACGGCAACGCCAAGGAAGTGGCCAGGATTATCAAGGCAGACCCCACGCGCCTCCGTGCTAAAAACAACCATGGCCAGACGGCCTTACATGTGGCAGCGGCCAAAGACCACATTGAGGTCGTCGAGGTGCTCTTGGAACAACATCCGGGTAACCTTTTATTTATTTAAATAAGCATCATGCCATATGAACATGTTTCGTGATCAAAGCAACTATTTCGTTCGGAATCAAATTGAGGAGAAAAGAAGTATGACTTATCTTTCTGACTGTACATTTCGTGTTAACGCTGGGTTTTATAACGAGTCTAGAGTTCAATTCAATAAAAGAAAACATTTACAGGAAATGGGTAAATGGTTTTAAAGTGGCTTTTTAAAAAAAATAGCAATACCTTCAAAGGAGACTTCGATCTAAGAACAAAACAATTTTTATTTACAACAGAAAACGGCTATCAATAATAAATAACTAGTAATGAAAAATTTCTGGAAAAAAATAAAGATGTGGGCTTATGATATAGAAATGTTAACTTACATTTAATGATTACATTTCATCCGATTCGCTCTTGTTTCCCCCAGACATTGACGCCCTTGACAATGACGGGAACACGCCCTTGCACCTGGCAGTTTATGCAGGCGCGGACAAAATTGTCGATTTGCTCATCAAGAATGGCGCCAAGACCAACATCCGCAACAGTCAACTCATGATGCCGATTCACGTGGCTGCCGAACTACCAAACGTTGATGTCGTCAAAGTAAGTTGTTGGGTTGCTCTGTGTTTACCTAGATTTCGTAAATAATTTACACCACCACAGTTCATTGTAATTTTTTTTTTGTTGTTAAACTTAATTGACTTAGGGTTGCGCTTCCGAAACACAATAAAGTTAATGTTAGTTGATTCTTTAAAATAAATACCCACTTTACACCTAAAAGAAAAAATTTAGAAAATCTGTCCCCTCTTTTGTGAATATAAATTAAAGGACTGCTTTCAAGCTTAGTAAATGAATGAAATAGAAAAACGAGGTATGTGGAAGCTTGAAGTAATATAACAGGACAAAAAAACAAGGACGTTTCGGCGTAAAGCCTTCCTCAGCCAACAGTAGAAATTAAAATATAACAAAGAACAGAGCACAGTACACCAATCAAGAGTATCCATTCGTGTCGCCGGAAGTGGGAATACAGGAAGATAGAGAATATAAATATTAACACTGTGAAAAATGAGGTCCACAATAATTATGGACCAGAATATCCAGGGATACATAAAGCTGGGGAAGGCTTTACGCCGAAACGTCCTTGTTTTGTGTCCTGTTATCTTATTTCAAACTCTTTTGTGAAGCCGGAATGTGCAGACAGCCAAACGTGTGCTCTCTCAAACCTTAAGAAAACTAAGAAAGCTTTTACATAGTACACCTTTATAAACATTGTCCATTTACTGTTGATGGCTCGTTCCGACCGATGCAATAAATATTGTGTTTTTTTATTCGTGTCCAAATTAGTCACTGCTCAGCAACGGCGTTGACCCCAACGGGATAGGAGAATCTGGCATGACGGCTCTGCATTACGCTGCTGCCAAGGACAATGGAGTTGTGATGCAAGTACTGGTAAGAATAAACTAGAGACACACATGGTGTAAATAAAACAATGAAGTTTTAGCTTTAATAATGGTAACACGGAATACCAATGCAAACGTCTTAGCAAATGCCTTCATCAGTACGACAAAAAACAACATTCATATCAGCAAAAATAAAATGTACAATATATATTTACAATATATATATATATATATATATATATATATATATGTATGTATGTATGTATGCTAGGGCTTAACTGTGTGCAGTATTTTAATACTGGGTTCGGGTATTTTGACCAAATGTTACTAAAAAGAAAATTGACCTTCTCATTTTCTATAATATATGTGAGCCTTTAAACAATAACCTTTTAACCAAAAGACCTTGTGACAGTCCTACACCCTACCTGCTGGTCTTTAAACAATAGCCCTACGTAAGAAAGTCCTACCCCCTACCTGCCGGCCTTTAAACAATAGCCCTACGTAAGACAGTCCTACACCCTACCTCCGGCCTTTAAACAATAGCCTTACGTAAGACAGTCCTACAGACAGTCCTACAGACAGTCATAAACAATACCCGTTGCTCTTTACTAATAATATTAAAATGATATTCGCCTCCCGCTAAATAAATTGTTTTTACCTATGTTCACATGTCACACATGACATCTGTTTTTTTAAACTCAGTATTATTAATATAAAACACGTGGCGTGAGGAGGGGCCGGTAACAGGATATACCAGAAGCAAAATATAGGCCTCTATAAGAGAAGAGATAAGTGTTCTATCTAAATGACTTAACCAGGTTTTCCCAAGGCACTCTATGTCACATTATTTTAAGTGAACTGAGAAAGAGCGAATTTATTTTAATTTTTTTTTTTTACTTTTAAAGATAAGTTTTAAAAAAAATAAAATGTGTCATTAAGATAATAAAGTGCCTTGTATTAACGATTTATAGATGTTTCTGCAAACAAATTTGTATTAGCTGAGTTACTGGTGTGTACCAGGTCCTCTGAATGTCACGTCATATAAATTATCGCATTAGTGGAAGGGGACCTAAACAGACTGGCATCAGTAAACCTAGCTACGCAACTGCATCTCAGAGACGTACGATTAGCAGTGCGGAAATATCCTCATCTACGTATAATTGGGTTAAATGTGGGATTTTTCAGATGCAAAGAGGAGGCAAGCCATGTTGGAAATGTGATTATGGCTACTACCCCATACATATAGCGGCAAAATGTGCCGCAGCAAGTGCCATGGAGGCCATCATTGAACAAGGTGGTGTTCATGTTCTGTTCGTAAGCCTAAATGCTGTGTACGTTTCTGTGTGTCACCAGCAGTCAGTTGTTCAGTGTGAGTTAAAATATTGTTCACATATTATGTCCTCCATGTCTGGTGTATTTCTACATTTAGTCTTTTTTTTTTTAAATGGTAATTTCAATTTAAATAAACAACAGGCGAAAGTCAAATTGTCATTAATTTTCTTGTCGTGCTTTTATTAGCATCGAATGCGTTAGTCATATTCTATTCGAGATAACACTATTTCGTTTTCATACTGTCAGCTATAAAGCAAGGCTACACACGGGAGCAGATTCTATCCTTTAAGGACAGAGAGAACAATCTTCCTCTACATGCGGCTGTTAATGGTGGAGACATTAAGGTACTTCCTTCAGACTCTCTATCGTGTTCTTTGCTTTACACTTTTCATTAAGTTTATACTTTGTTGTAATGTAACATGTAGTGTCGTAACAGGATGATGGTTTACACCGTGACGATAGAAGGGAAAATGGTGACAATGGCAGGGGCTCTGAAGTTGTGCCCCTGTCCTTTCAAAGGAATGTCTGAAAATTTGGAACCTGTGCGGGTGGGGGTGTACATTAATGGTATTTTTAAGTCATTTTAAATGTCAGTCAGGCCACGGGGCCCGTTTAATACCATTTTTAATATGTCTCTACTTGTTCGTTGTAATTTTCAATAGATAATTGTTGATCATTTTTCACCAAAACTTCTTCTTCGTTTCAGTCTTTCCGTATCATTGTTAATCCGCTCATCTCTTTTCAGATGATCAGTTATTCTCTCAGGTGTAAATGCTTTCATTTCAGCGTACATTTTTTTTCTTACTGTTATGTTTTCATTGTTTTTATTTCAAACAAGTAACATAAACATATATATACATAAATACAAGTTCTCAATCAGGTGTTGACTTTCTGCTTGCGTCCGGAACACGGTTCATAAACACACACTCTGTTCAGTCTCTCTGCGCATGCGCGCTGTTTCCTTGGCTGGCTATCGGTACGGGCCAGTCCGCTAGTCCACCATAACACCTCCCCGAACAATTACAAGTACAGTAACAATGGTGCTCGACGTTGTCTTTGAGATCTTCTGGGTAAGACATAGTCTGAAGTTCCTGGATATCGAGGGTTAATCTTCTTCTTAGGTGGACTTGGAGTTGCTGGATATGTAGACGTTTGATGACTCAGGGCTGCCTGGGCTGTTGGATAAAGACTTCCTGTCATTATATCCAAACCTGGTTCTGTATCTTCTTCTGCTCCGTACCTGGGGCGAAGTTGGTCTAAATGTCTCTTCCAAATGGGACCATTTGGATAAATCTTTACCTTGAAAAGACGTGGACCCATAACTTGGATGATTGTACCGGGAGCCCATCGTGGTTTAGAGTCTGTTGCTGTTCCATATACTCTGACGTAACATGGATCTCCCCGGTTAAACGATCGACTAGGACTTCTTTTTGTCCCATTGCGGACGGCTATTTCTTTAAGAAGTTGTCCCTTTGCTCGATGAGCAGGAGAGGGAACTAGAGTATCAATAAGTGTTCTTATTTGCCGAAAGTTCAGCAGTTGTCTTGGTTCACTTGCTTTAATCAATGAGTTTTGATTAGCAATGTGATTTGTCCTTGTTTGAAACAGTGCGTCTTTTGAAATCTTGAGGTTCTTTAATGCAGTTCTGCCAAACAAGTTTAAGTTGTGGTTTTTCACTACTACAAATGACAAATTTTTAGTTATTTTCCCTGCCTCAGCATTTATCTGCACACTTCCCAATACATTAGCTACTGGGCTCAATGTGGGTTGTCCCAGCTTTCGCCAAACAGATTCAGACATAAAATTTTCTCCGGCTCCAGTGTCAATTTCAAATGCAAACATCTTTCCACCTAAAATGAGTTCTTGAATAAGGGGCGGGAAAGTTTTTATTTGATTTTGCCTTCTTATTCTTTTGAGAAGACTCGGTTTCTGTTTTGGAGCATTCTCTTTCTTATTTAGACAAACTCTTTCTAGATGTCCTCTCTTGTGGCAAAAGCGGCAGATCACGTCTTTGTACCTGCAGACATTTCCTTTATGGCCTCTTACTCCACACCTGCCACAAGTTCCACTCGGAAAATCCTGTCTTTGAGATGGAGAAAATTTCTCTGCTGTCTGATGTTGCTTCTTTCTGTGTGACTGAATTTTATTGATAGGCGTTTCGTCATGGACTGTTTCTTTGGCACATTTCGCTGCCTCCTCTGTTTCAACAGCTATTTCTACTGCCTTGTTGAAAGATAGTTCAGTGCCCTTCATCCGAAACAAAATTTTTAATAGTGCCTCATTCTTTACAGAGCACATGAATCTTGTTCGTAAAGCTTCATCTAGTGGATTTTTGATATTACTAAACTCACAAGTTGCTGCATCCTGTCTGATCCTAGCTGCCAATTCTTTGATTGTTTCCCCTGGTTTTCTACTTGCATCAGACCAAAATTTGAACCTTTCTCTGATTACAAATTTGGTGGAGTCAAATTGATCCATCATTATTCTATATATTTCTTCTATGTTCAAGTCATTTAACTTTTGTGGTGGTTCTTTTTGTTGTACGATGGTTGATAACATTTTATGCAGCTCTGGCGTCTGGCTTGTTACAAAAAATGTGTGCCTGCCTTTCCTTTGGCACATTATTTGCCAACACGAAGGTCACATATCTAGCGTAGTAGTCTGTGAAGGTTTCCTCGTTACTATTGAAATGTGTAAACTTCATATTCGTAGCCGTATGACCTGTTGCTAGTTTCAAAAGTAGCTCGTTCTGTTGTATGAGCTTCTGGATAATGTCAGCTTGGGTCAGAGTTGACTCCATAGTGTATTCACTTTCTCCGTCCCGTGAACTCACTCGTGCGTATCAAACTATGACTCGGTTGTACTGAGTTGTACTGAGTTTTGTATTGAGTTAATACTTGCCATCATACTGTGTCGTTGATGCTGGTCGATACCACACTGTGATGTTTATACTGGCCACCATTTTGTTATGTTTTCATTGTTTTTATTTCAAACAAGTAACATAAACATATATATACATAAATACAAGTTCTCAATCAGGTGTTGACTTGCTGCTTGCGTCCGGAACACGGTTCATAAACACACACTCTGTTCAGTCTCTCTGCGCATGCGCGCTGTTTCCTTGGCTGGCTATCGGTACGGGCCAGTCCGCTAGTCCACCATAACACTTACTGTGGTCAGATTGTTTCAAAACCTAACATGGAAGTCTTTAATCTCTTCTAACAGGCGGTGAAAGTGTGTCTGAGTGCCGGCGCATCAGTAAAGGCTCAACAGGCAAGTCTTTAAAAGCAACAAAATCAATAACGGTGTTATTTTTAAAAATAATAAGACGTTTATCTGTCTTTGTATAGAATCAGACTAAGCTAAAGTTCATAATTTGCACGGCTTCAAAGATTCCTTTTAGTTTATGGCATTAATTCAGAGTGACCGTGTTGGGGAAGCAAAGGTCTAAAGTGCTTGAGAAGCAGAAAAGCTGTTGTGAGTTTGGACAGGTGAAAGCAGCTGGCTGTAGTCTGTGTCATCGAGTGTTGGCCAAAACAAGTGGCAGTTAGTTGCACAATGACGTGTTGGCCAAAACAAGTGCCAGGCAGTTGCACAATGATGTGTTGGCCAAAACACAGAGTGTGAGTGCCAGGCAGTTGCACAATGTGTGTTGGCCAAAAAAAGTGCCAGGCAGTTGCACAATGATGTGTTGGCCAAAACACAGAGTGCCAGTGCCAGGCAGTTGCACAATGATGTGTTGGCCAAAACAAGTGCCAGGCAGTTGCACAATGATGTGTTGGCCAAAACACAGAGTGTGAGTGCCAGGCAGTTGCACAATGTGTGTTGGCCAAAACAAGTGCCAGGCAGTTGCACAATGATGTGTTGGCCAAAACACAGAGTGCCAGTGCCAGGCAGTTGCACAGTGATGTGTTGGCCAAAACAAGTGCCAGGCAGTTGCTCAATGATGTGTTGGCCAAAACAAGTGCCAGGCAGTTGCACAATGATGTGTTGGCCAAAACAAGTGCCAGGCAGTTGCACAATGATGTGTTGGCCAAAACACAGAATGCGAGTGCCAGGAAGTTGCACAGTGATGTGTTGGCCAAAACACAGAGTGCGAGTGCCAGGCAGTTGCACAATGATGTGTTGGCCAAAACAAGTGCCAGGCAGTTGCACAATGATGTGTTGGCCAAAACAAGTGCCAGGCAGTTGCACAATGATGTGTTGGCCAAAACAAGTGCCAGGCAGTTGCACAATGATGTGTTGGCCAAAACACAGAGTGCCAGGCAGTTGCACAATCACTTAGTTCAGCGGTTCTCAACCTGTGGGTCGCGAATCCTTTGGTGGTCGCGCGCCCCTTTCTCAGGGGTCGCCTGAAACCATCTGAAAATACACATACTCTACAGTTCTAAAGTATCAACGAAAATAATTTTGTGGCTGGGGGGTTGCCACAACATGAGAAACGGTATTAAAGGGTCGCGGCATTAGAAAGGTTGACAACCACTGACCTAGCTAGTACGCCAAAACAAAAAGTACACATTCTAGACAGTTGTACAATCATTTTTTTGGGACAAAACACAAAATACGAGACATGGGGAGGGTGCTATTTTTTTTTAAATTAATTTTTTTTTCATTTTTGAATTTAAAAAAAAAAGAAGACAAATTTTAAAAATCTAAAAATAACGTATTCCTAACGTTGGAACAGATTAATTGAAGTTACGTTGATTTCAATGGGGAAAAATCACTTTAGTTAGCGAATGTTGAACGGAATCACGGAACTGATTGGTTCACTAACAAAGGTTACACTTTATTTGTATTTCAATAATATATTACAGGAAAGGTCTTGGCCTATTCTTTATAAAGATGTTTTAGCCGTATATGTCTGAATTTGTCCGAATTTGACAGTTTCGTATTTGCCTCAAGCCCCTGAGAATGCGCTTGTCTGACAAGCTTCAAAGGTAAAAACTAATCAAAGTAAGACATATCTTGATTTGATTTTGCACAACAAATAATTGTCTAACGTTCACCAGGAAGACGGCTCCACGCCCTTGCACTTTGCCTGCGCCCAAGGCAACATGGAGATGATTCGCCTCATGGAACAGATGCAGAGAGACAACTTTCTGGCCGCTGTTAGCACCGTGGATGTACTGAAGATGACGCCCCTGCACAGGGCAGCTTTGTTCAACCACACGCCAGCTATTGTATACTTGTTGGAACATGTAAGCTTTCTCAGCTATTGTATACTTAATGGGACATGTAAGTTTTCTCAGCTATTGTAAACCTATTGGAACATTAAGCTTTGCTAGCCATTGTATACTTATTGGAACATGTAAGCTTTCTCAGCCATTGTAGCTGACATTGATGTCTGCCATTGTTGACACGTATCTCTTGGGTGCTGACATTAATGTCTGCCATTGTTGACACGTATCTCTTGGGTGCTGACATTAATGTCTGACATTGTTGACACGTATCTCTTGGGTGCTGACATTAATGTCTGACATTGTTGACACGTATCTTTAGGGTGCTGACATTAATGTCTGCCATTGTTGACACGTATCTCTTGGGTGCTGACATTAATGTCTACCATTGTTGACACGTATCTCTCGGGTGCTGACATTAATGTCTGACATTGTTGACACGTATCTCTTGGGTGCTGACATTAATGTCTGACATTATTGACACGTATCTCTTGGGTGCTGACATTAATGTCTGACATTGTTGACACGTATCTTTAGGGTGCTGACATTAATGTCTGACATTGTTGACACGTATCTTTAGGGTGCTGACATTAATGTCTGCCATTGTTGACACGTATCTCTAGGGTGCTGACATCGACTCCCGAGACAACAATGAAAGAACTCCACTGCTGCTGGCGGCATCAAAAGGCTGCTGGACCACAGTGCAGGTTCTTTTAGAGAAGGGAGCAGACGTCCACGTCCGTGACATCAAGAACAGGAACTTTCTCCACCTGGCCGTCAAGTTTGGCGGCAAATTGGAACAGATTGGAGGAGCTTTAATTATGGTATTTTTTGTATTCTCTTGGCATCATTTCAAGCGAAATAAGAACATAACGTTATGGAATCCAATCGCGCGTGCAGATCATATTTCCAAGTTATTTTATTTTATTATAAATAATTACTATACTCAAGTCAATGTGCGTTTTTACAGATATATGGCACGATGTGCGTTTTTAAAGATATATGACACTATGTGCCAACGCCGGCCTTAGGTAAACTTTTGACCTGTGCGAAGCACCTGATCGGCGCCCCCTTCCCTGACCCTGTATGGCTTCGCTCTTTTCCCGATTACGACGTACACTATGGAGCAAGTGTTATAATGCAATACATGAAGCTAACCATACTCGTTTTAACATGCACATTAATTTAGATTGTTTAGTTTTTCTGCAGTACCTCAAACTTTACTATTATAAACTAAGGAAATTTTTAAATATTTAATGTGCGCCCCTATGGCCACGGCGCACCATGCGATGGCACAGGTCGCACACCCTAAAGGCTGGAGTTTGATATGCGGGTTTTACCGAAATATGCCACAATGTTCGGGTTTTACTTTTACCAATGTATGGCGCGGTGTGCGAGTTTTACCAATATATGGCGCGGTGTGCGAGTTTTACCAATGTATGGCGCGGTGTGCGAGTTTTACCAATATATGGCGCGGTGTGCGAGTTTTACCAATATATGGCACGGTGTGTGGGTTTTACCAATATATGGCACGGTGTGTGAGTTTTACCAATGTATGGCACGGTGTGCGAGTTTTACCAATGTATGGCACGGTGTGTGGGTTTTACCAATATATGGCACGGTGTGTGAGTTTTACCAATATATGGCACGGTGTGTGGGTTTTACCAATATATGGGACGGTGTGTGGGTTTTACCAATATATGGCTCGGTGTGTGAGTTTTACCAATATATGGCACGGTGTGTGAGTTTTACCAATGTATGGCACGGTGTGCGAGTTTTACCAATGTATGGCACGGTGTGTGAGTTTTACCAATATATGGCACGGTGTGTGAGTTTTACCAATATATGGCACGGTGTGTGGGTTTTACCAATATATGGCACGGTGTGTGGGTTTTACCAATATATGGCACGGTGTGCGAGTTTTACCAATATATGGCACGGTGTGTGGGTTTTACCAATATATGGCGCGGTGTGCGGGTTTTACCAATGTATGGCGCGGATGGGTTTTACCAATATATGGCGCGGTGTGCGAGTTTTACCAATGTATGGCGCGGTGTGCGAGTTTTACCAATATATGGCACGGTGTGTGGGTTTTACCAATATATGGCACGGTGTGTGGGTTTTACCAATGTATGGCGCGGTGTGCGAGTTTTACCAATATATGGCACGGTGTGTGGGTTTTACCAATATATGGCACGGTGTGTGAGTTTTACCAATGTATGGCGCGGTGTGCGAGTTTTACCAATATATGGCACGGTGTGTGGGTTTTACCAATATATGGCGCGGTGTGCGAGTTTTACCAATGTATGGCGCGGTGTGCGAGTTTTACCAATATATGGCACGGTGTGTGGGTTTTACCAATATATGGCACGGTGTGTGGGTTTTACCGATATATGATACGGTGTGCGAGTTTTACCAATATATGGCACGGTGTGTGGGTTTTACCAATATATGGTACGGTGTGTGGGTTTTTCCAACAATATATGGTACGGTGTGTGGGTTTTACCGATATATGGCAAGGTATGCACAGTGACAGTTTTCTCATAAAAATAATTTAGCTACATAAAATTTACATTAAATACATATACCGAATACGGACCCATGGACACGTTTGTTTTGAGAACATCTGAAAACCTTCAAGTTTACATAAGAAAAGATTCATCGATGTGTGCGTTATTAAACAAATATTGACCAATGTATATAAACCATCAAGCTACTAACTCTATTAAAAGTTGTCCCAACATTTAAAGAAACTGGTGGGTTTCTTTTTCAGGACTTTAGAAATCTTCAGAATGAGAAAGATGACTTCGGCTGCACACCATTGCACTACGCGTCCAAGGAAGGCCACCTGCTAGCGTTGGACGACCTCATAAAAATGGGGGCCCAGCTTAACCTGAAGGACAACCAGAAGCAATCACCCTTTCACTTTGCAGCAAGGTAGCCTATTGTGAAGTATGAATGTTCTAAAATACGGTAGTGTAATGCCAAATGACTCTAACACAATACATTTTCTTCAACACTGGAACACGACTGATCTTTGTAGCATTTTCTCACATACCAGTCAATAATCCAAGGGTTGACTAGAACATTTTGAAACATACTCTCAATTTTTCCTTGCTTGTCCTGAGAACATACTGAAGGTGAACGTGATAGTCCTCCTAGTCTTAGGACTTCCGGCATCTGCTTTTTTACGCTCGACTAGTACTTCATCAACATGTCCATAGATAAATAAATTTCTTTCTTCCTATATCCCAAATTATCCACCATATTTGATCGACTATTTGCATTCTTTCTTCTTCACTTATATCTTTACATTTATCTATTTTAGATTTCTGTGCACAACTATCAATCAGTTTTCTTTTTTCTTTTTCAATAATTCAAATTCTTCAGTTCTTTTCTTTTTTTTTTTTTTGTTTTTTTTTAAAATGTAATTACACCTTTGATAGGAAAGTCCAACTTGTCGTCTGGTACGTTTTACTTCCTCCTACCAGTTTAACATGCCTATCGTTCTTTTACTCATATGCTATATTTCTTTAATTTAGATATGGACGTTATAACACCTGCCGTCGGCTGCTGGACAGCCTTCACGGGCCCAACATCATCAATGAGACAGACGGCTCAGGCCTCACTGCCCTCCACATAGCTGCACAAAATGGACACACTAAAGTTATACAGCTACTGCTGCAAAGAGGAGCAGTTGTCAACAAGTAAAGAACTGGTTAAATATTTATTTTTTACTAACAGCTTTGGAATTTTTTAGTTTTGTCTTTCTTTTAAACTACCTGGCATCTAAAAACTGGGGTAAAGCAGTTTTGACTGCACACCCCAACCGTAACAGTACTGAAACTCCCATAAATTGAATGCCGTTACTGAAGTGTATTATGTCAAGTAATGGAAGACATGTGTTTGAGAACATAGGTGCAATTTCGTACCTGATACTGATAGTATCAGTGATACAGGTTGAACAACGGCCCAGCCTAACTGATAGTATCAGTGATACAGGTTAAACAAAGGCCCAGCCTGACTGATAGTATCAGTGATACAGGTTGAACAACGGCCCAGCCTGACTGATAGTATCAGTGATACAGGTTGAACAATGACCCTGCCTGACTGATAGTATCAGTGATACAGGTTGAACAACGGCCCAGCCTGACTGAAAGTATAAGTGATGCAGTTTGAACAACGACCCTGCCTACTGATAGTGATACAGGTTGAACAACGGCCCAGCCTGACTTATAGTATCAGTATCCGTGATACAGGTTGATACTGTGTCGAGTCAGGATTATTTATTGTGGACAACGACCTGAACAACGGCCCTGGCTTTGGTGTTGGAGGTTCCAGATTTGTATTGGAATGATTGAGTCTCCGATGAAATTCACCCTAACCCTAACCCCTAAGCCTAACCCTAACCCCTAAGCCTAACCCTAAGCCTAACCCCAACCCCTAACCCCGTTAACATTTCCTGCCAATGACAGAGTCACTTCCAGAGCCGTGTTATTGGTACCTTTTTTTCAAAACTCTCAAGTAATTGTTCTTCCAAATTAAAAAAAAAAAAAAACACTTTCACCCCTTATGTTTACTAACGTATGAGCGACAATATTGCTTAACTATAAATACTTTACAGACCCATTTCGAACAAAAACTGCACAACATATAATCCTTTGCACTTTTATGGTCACGTGGCAGCTGGACATATGCATCTTTTACAAATACGTGCATGCATTCAATATGTAGGAGTTTCAGTATTGCTGGTTTTAGCGTATGCTGTATTATTGTACTTTTTTCAAATATTTAAAAATCTTGCATATGTAGGAAACTCAAACATAAAAAAAATTTTGACTTAAATTAATAAAAAAAAAAAAAAAAAAAATTATGTAGGCCCTATGTGTAATATTTAAATTGTTGCAAAAACACGTTGATAAATTTCCGTTTGATTTCCATCATTGCAAACGAAAAATGCGTTTTTAAAAATAATTGCATTTGAACTATATTATTAATAAGATAACTGCAATTGTTCGTCTGCTTAGCCTGCGCAGAGATATGCAATATTATTTACTTTCCAATAAAGGGACAATGAAGATAACACAGCACTTCACCACGCGGCAGCCCAAGGCTGGACCCACAGTATGAAAGTGATTCTCAGTGTTCATGGTAATCTGTTGAATGCTGTCAATATTGATGGGGTAGGTGCATGCAGTCATTGTTTTTTTTTTTTTTGTTTTTTTTTACATTACACATTTTAAAAAAAATTTTAATGTCCTCTATGCAATATGAATTGTTTTTTTTAATTTAACGATTATTTTGGTATGGACCCACAGTATGAAAGTGATTCTCAGTGTTCATGGTAATCTGTTGAATGCTGTCAATATTGATGGGGTAGGTGCATGCAGTCATTGTTTTTTTTTTTTTTTGTTTTTTTTTACATTACACATTTTAAAAAAAATGTTAATGTCCTCTATGCAATATGAATTGTTTATGTGAATTTAACGATCATTGTGGTATGATAAGATTAGATTGACTGATAGCAGATTTATAAATACCTTAGGCTATACGTAAAGCTTAAAGATGACTGAACTATTATCTGGTAGATAAATATATTTTCTTTACTGGAATACAGGATACAGCACTACATGTAGCAGCCAAAAATGGACAGGCATCAGCCACAAGTTTGCTGCTCAGCCTGGGGGCCAAATTTCTAAAAAATCATAACGATCAAGCCTTTTTTGATTATGTAATTCAGTTCAAATTCAGTGATGTGGCCATAGCTACAATCAACCATGAAAGGTAAGGATAAACACTGAATTACCAGCTGGGTCTCTTTAATAAGGAGGTAAAGGTCAAGTGGTGCAAATATTTAAACAGCACTATGACTAATTTTATATGGTAAGACGAAAAAAAAAAAACTATTTTGGGGGAAAAAAGAGCGAATGATTATGAATGGCTTCATTTCATTCCTATCCTATCCGCATTCATATCATTATCATTTGTGGTTGTCGTGGTTTGGTTAAGTAAACATTAATTTATGATTAATTGAATGGCGATACTGTGAACGTGAGAGAAAAGAAATGTTTCATAGTCAGAGTAAAAGCATTTTATTTTAAAAACTATATTATTGGGTCAGTTTTAAATGACCCTGCTCAACTCATGAAATTGAGTTAAGAAACAACAAAAGCACCCTCTTAAGATCAAAAAGGCGGCAACCACTGGTATGTTTAGATCTAACCGTGAAAAAGTGTGAATTTGTTTCTGTAAATAGACTGATAACTGCTGGTAAAGCTAAATTGCGATCAGGGAACACTTACGCTTTTCAATTTCGAATAATTTGTTGGTCTTTTTTTGTTTGTTTTTTTGATTTGTCTACTGAACAATTCACTGAGCAGAAACGTCCTTTTAATTGTTCGGTCTTTTTTTTTTTTCTTAAGCCTCAACCTATCTTGTTCCACTATTTATTTACTTACATATTTGTTGTTTTTTTTTAATTGAAGGTGTTTTTTGTGTACATTTATTTCTGTATAAAATATGTATAAACAAATAATGGCTTACGTATATAATTCATTGCCATTTATCACTTTTTTTTTTAAAATTCAGATGGGAGGAAGTGTTACAAACATGCTCGAGTATTTATGGTTGTTTTATACTGGGACTTATTGAACACCTGCCTGGTATTTGCTTGGTAGGTACAGAAATCATCAGTAACTAATTGGTCTTTGTGTTTATCACTCATACGCATATCAACATAGAAGACATTAAAAAAAAAATTAATTATAATATAGGAAGACCACTTAATAACCAAAAGCCTAAAAAAAAAAATGTACAATATATTTCTTTAAATTAAATATTTAGTTTTATTGAACACTTGCAATTAATATAATCATGAAATTGTTGAATTGTGTAATGGAAGAGATAACTGAGACCGACTAAAAAAATGGGATCCAGACATTATATAAAAATAAATAATATATTTATTTATTTAGGCATTTTTATATAGCGCTTATCATAAAGCTCTAAGCGCTTTACAATTATTAAAACATGTAAACTAAGTAAATAAAAATGAGACACTAGGATAGTATCTACTATACTATAGAAACAATGAAAATGGCTATAAAACGAGGACACTTTGACACTTCAGGATCAACCCGAAACAGAAAATGAGGTAGGGCAAGGAGGGTGCATCACAGGTCATAGGCGGACCTAAACAGATGAGTTTTAAGGGACTTTTTGAAAATNGGTAGGGCAAGGAGGGTGCATCACAGGTCATAGGCGGACCTAAACAGATGAGTTTTAAGGGACTTTTTGAAAATGGACGAGGTTTCACTATGACGTATATGGAAGGGGAGCTGGTTCCAGAACGTGGGCCCATGGAAGCAGTTATCAATATCCTTTGATTGTGAAGTCAGTCATGGACCATTTCATTTTTTAAAGTTATCTCTTAGAATCTCTAATTCTAAGAGATGTGAAAATTGATTATATTTATTCACTCTGTTTCTCTAATAAACAACAAATTTATTTCTTATTTATATTATATATCTCTCCTTAGAATGTTCTGGATAGATGCCAAGTTGCCTCTGAGCATGACCCCAAAAGTCCAGATTATCATGTCAGTGTTACATTTCGTTCTAGTTATTTACTCTAAGATTTATTTGCCAAAAACTTAAATGTCACCAAATCAACTAAAGACCAGTTTTTCATTTACCATTTAGCATAGCATACCTATAAAAGAACATGGATAAATTGTATTAAACCTATCAATGCTCATGTAGGTCTCCCTGCCAATGCCATTGACTCATGGTATGTGCAATCAAGATAATTGATCTAATCAAAAATAACTTTCACATTTTAGATAACATACAACTTCAAGTACTTGGACACACCCACAAGTTGCTTAGAGACCACCAAAAAGAGCAATAATAATGGTGGCATTGTTCCTATGATGTCCTTAAATGTAAGTATTCATGAGTTTTTAAGGCCTTTTTATTTATTTATTCCTGCATTCTAGAAAAATGTTGAATAAAATGAAACACTTTTGCCTTTTTTATTGTGTAGTATAATATATCCTAAATATTTATTTTGAATACACCATTAATTATAACTTTTTAAACAAAAATCATTGTAAAAAACACAATGGTCATTATGAAACACACATTTAGCAGTCTAAAGTTTTTAAACTGCCACTGGCATTCGCAACTGATAATAAAGTTAAATCAATTATTTAACTTCTCATTTTAGTCAGAACAAACTTTAAAGAAAAAAGGTACTATTCTATTAATTATTAAATATATATAAGTTATGATTTCAACAAACAAATTCAACTTTTAAATTATACTTTTCTATCTGTTATGGTTACTTCAGGCCATGGTTAAAAATAACAGAGTTGACTGTCTGTCTCATCCTGTATGTGTTACATTTTTACAAGTCAAATGGTAAGAAATATTCAATCAGTTCAAACCAAAGCATACCACCTATTTATGCACTCCTGTCTTATTAAATGATTGAAAAGATATATAAATAAAATACAATTAGGCCTACTTGTATACAGCATCTGACATTAACTGTGAAATGTCAATAATTGTTTAAGTTAATATTTTTAAGAGCTAAAAAGCATTAAAAGTTGTGTATTAACTAGTTAGTATAGTTTTAACATTTGTTTAAATTTCCAATTTCACTATTTGATATATTTTTATCTATAGGAAGCACTATGGAGTTTATGTCTACACAGCTTACTTATTTGTATACATTGCCTTTCTGGCATCCTTAACTTCATTTGTAGTCAACCACAACTCTCTGCAGGTAGGTCCAATAACTATGGAATTGTAGGTGACATATATATATTTTGGGAGTTTTTAGGCATTTTCTGTGCCAAACTTCAGAGTAATCATTTCTTTATGCCTAAATTTCAAAAGATTTTTTATTAATTTTTTTTTTGGATAATTTATTATGGTTTATTAGGAATAAAAAAAGATACAAGTTATTAAAAATGTATGAAACAAACCTTTCCCATGGTTAATTAGGCTGTTCTTACAATGGTTTATAATTAATTAAACTTCCATGAGATTCAGACAATTTAAAACAAAAGATAGCTTTTCCCTTAATATTAAGCTTTTTAATAATAACAAAAGTCAATCTTAGGAAATAAGACCTACATCACAGCTAAGAAACCTACAAGACTTTTCTTTTTCTTTTTTTATATGTAACTGAAAAATTGCCATGTCAAAAATATAAAATAATCTCAGGTTAGTTATTTTAAAATACCTATTGTACTTTACCACCTTTGCATTTTTTAAACATCACAGGCTTTCATTGGAAAAACCTTGCAAAACCTTTGGTTTTAAGTTATGTAGCATGATTTGTCTAGACTTTTTAATTTTGAATGAAAATTATTAGATGAAATAATGGATATTTGTGTTGGTTGATATTTTATTTTTATACAGAAACATTGCTTTACATTTTCAGCACTATGATCCGGACTGTACTGAAAATACAACAATAAAATACCTCGATGGCAACAAAAAAGATGGCTATGAATTCAATTCCTTCTATCTTGTGTGTCTGTGGTTTATAGAGGTTTACAGTGTTTTGAATATTATCAAAGAGATATTACAGTTGATAACACAAGTAAGGATTTATTTGTTTGTTTTTATTAAACAAATTAAATCAATTACATAATTAAACCATCTGATGGGGTTTAATTAAAATTTTATTTTAAAAATGAAAGCATTATAAATAATGCTAGATAAAACAATTGTTACATAACATATTTTTTTTGCTAATGTTTGTTGAGAATACATATTTCCATTGTTTCAGAGACAATTCTACTTTGCTGACATTGGTAATGCATTAGAATGGTCACTGTATTCCTCAACACTGATATTTGTAACACCTTTCTTCTCCGGTAAATCTTTTCACTGGCAGTGGGAGGCTGGTGCTGTTTGTGTGTTTCTTGCCTGGTTTAACTGCCTAGTTTTTCTTCAGAGGTAACACCACGCTTTTATATAACTATCAGCACTTAATATAAATTGCAATAGTGTTTGTATGATAAATGATGTGATGGTGTATGGGACATTTAGCATAAAAGCAGTGCTTTAGAGCAGCCCTGAAAGCCCTACTGTATGTCTTGGCTAATTCAAAGGCCTAAATTTGTGATGTTGAAAAATTTAAAGGAAATTATTTTAAATTGTATGGAATAACTAAATATTTGACTATTGTGGCAATATCTTCAATTTAATTATATTATTTTTAGCCCACTAACTGTAAAAACAAACGATAGTATAAATTTTTTGTTTCACCTTCAAGTACATTAGTATTAAAAGAACAAGATAAGGATCTCATGTTTATATTTTGAAACATCCACTAATAAAAAAAAAAAGGAGGGGGGTGGAGTTTTAATGGAGAGGGTGACACATTTTAGTCACCCCATTTTGATTTAAGTGCAATGAAAAGAGACAATAAACAATAGGGACAGATAATTTTTATCCTTAATTTTTTTCTGTCATGGAACTGAAAATAAACTGTACACAAAAATTATTCTAATGTTGTTGTTTTTTCTGCTTGTTTTTCAATAAATTGATCAATTACTAACTTTTTAGGTTTGACTTCTTTGGCATTTATGTTGTCATGTTCTTGGAGATTTTGAGAACCCTTGTTCAAGTACTTTGTGTCTTTTCTATACTGATCATTGCCTTCGGCCTGTCATTCTACATGTTGCTGTTCAGAGAAGTAAGGAGACTATTCTATCTTTAATTTGATAGTTTTTATTTTTATTTATATTAAGCTAACCTTGCATCACATATATATATGACATATGCAGTTTTCTTTTAAAAAATCCATAATTTTTAACATTGTAACATAAATAAGTAGGAAAAGAAACCAGTCCTAATTTTGGTGAGGTGTGCTTAGTTTATATTTTTGTAGGTGGGAAAATATTCTATGGATTTTTTAAAAGACACAACTAACTGCATATTTTAACAAAAAAGTCTAACACATTTTCACCTGCAGGCTATTAAAGAAACAAATTCTCAAACTGGACACTACTGACAAGATATATAAAAATAAGGATATTAATATAATCCATTGACTTGTTTTTTTATTGTTTGAGGAAAGAGTAAGTAATTTATGTCATATTTCTCTCAGGAATCCAAAGCCTTTTCAACACCCCCTCTGTCATTTTTACGTACATTTATGATGATGCTTGAGCTGGACTACATGGCCTCATTCAATGATGTGTTTGTTGATGGCAGGGATGAAACTCTCCACTTTGGAACCTTGACTCTTCTTCTGCTCATCTGTTTTGTGCTTCTTATGCCTATCCTTCTCATGAATTTACTGGTAATAATCTTAATACTTCCCTCAGTACTATGGGCAATTATGTAGGTACTGGCAGTTTAAAACTCTGTAATAACTTAAACTTTCACTTATTTAATGCAAACAAATAGCATGTTTAATTTGATCGATGTGAGTTAATGTGGTACATAAGTGTTTTGTACATATTATTGTACCCCTACGTATACATTAATGCATGTACTATTCTTGGCTACCTGTAATTTTTTTTTTTTTAAATGTGAAATGATCAAAGGAGTAGGAGCTAGAGTAGAAACAATTGTGTTAAAGTGTTTTTGGGAACATAAATGAAAGCAGTTGTTTTTAAAGAAAGAAATGAATTATTTTATCATTGACAATGCAAGACTTGTGTTCCATATGTTTTATTTTAATTTTTAGAATTTCTTCATCCCATGTATACAGAAAAATAAGAATAAATGAAAAGCATCAAACACAAAAGAAGATATTACAATTAAAAGCAGAATCTATGTATATTGTTCAATGCCTGATTTCTGGTTCCTCACAGATTGGTCTTGCAGTTGGAGACATTGAATCTGTTCAAAGTAATGCAAGACTTAAGCGTTTAGCCATGCAGGTAAAATTTATTAAAGTTCATTAGTTTATATGAAAGCTAGTACCCACATTTACACCTACAAAAAAATCACAGGTATTCATTTCGTAATTTAAATAATAAATTTCATCCAAGGACTAATTTTTGTTTAGATCTATTTTAATAGTAGTTTTTTATACAAGTGTTTTTCTTATTTTTAAACAGGTTGAATTGCACATAAACATGGAAAGCAAAATGCCACTGTGTATCCACAGAATTGCTCAAATCACAGAGTTTAAACAATTTCCAAACAAATGCCAAAGGAAGTTGGAAAATGTGAGTTTGTATTATTGAATCATATTAAGATTTTTTTTACACTAGAGTTAAAGTTTAATTAGCTCTGAAACACAATGGCCTTCTGTCTGCTTGAAGCGTTGTGAAAAGTTAAGGTCAAAACTTTAATCTTAATAATTCAGATATGTGTCTTTTATATGATGTTTTGTTTTCTATGCAATACATAAAATTGGGATCAGTTTAGAGAATACAAATCTTTGACTTTGACATTAGTGTTTCCCAATGTGGGGATCTGCAGTCTGGCGCTACAAATCTTATATTGCCAGTTAAAACAAAATAAGTCAAATAACTGAAATAAAGTTAAATGTTTTTTTCATTTGAGATTGATTGCATAGCAGCCACCTTTAAAATATGTTATTGTCATGTGCATTAATATGAAATGCATCCTTCATACTGAATAACAAGAGCTTTCAGAGTCTGAATGTTAATGTTGTGGTATTTGTTAATTGCAATTTATATTCTGAAGTTGCCCAAAAATTTGTTCTCATATCTTTCAAATTATCTCTTTGAAACTAGGATTGTTAAGATAAAGGCGGCCTACTGGTCCAGACTGACTACAATCAAACCACAATTTGATTTCCTTGTTAATAATAAGACATTCTATATTTTGCTTTAATATAGTCAAATTTAACAAAAAGGATTTTTTTACCTCAAAAATTCGTTATATATTCCCTAAATTATGATTTAATTTATAAATACTGTTTTGGTAGAAAAAAATATATGCTAGTAAACATTATTTTATCTTAAAACAGCTTGACGGCCATCATTAAAGGATAATAATTAATTTAGTTCAAATACAACAAATGTTATGAAAAATAATAATTCTTGGTGCACTAGGAAACGTATCGACTGGGCTGCAAAACTTAAAAGTTTGGGAAGCACTGCTTTACATATCATATTTTTGCTCTTTGTTTTCAAATTCCTTACTTTTTTATGTATGGTATATGCACTATAATTTTATTGCTTAAGGCAACTAAAGATAATTATCATGAAGTTTGCAAAAAAAATAAAAAAGCAATTTATTTTGACATGATTAGCCTATAAAATCTAAAGTCTATTATTTTTTTCAGTTTTTCTCAATGATGTCCTTAAAAAGTACTGATAGTGACCTAAAAAACCCCCAGAGCGGTATGGGATCCTATTTGTATGAAGAGATGTACAAACAGAAAGTTAGGTATGTTGTCCTTATTAGATTTTGTGAGTAATTATTTGCTTTTTTAGAATCTTTTATATTCTAAAAGGGATAAGATTCATTGTACTTTTTATGCAGCATAATAAAATTACTTTTTTAAAAAAATGGTCTACTAAATTAAAATTACATTTCCTGATCTAAAGAGGAGCGTGAAGCAGCCTGACAAACTGAAGGAGATGAGCAAGGGAGAAAAGTAAATTGCAAGCAAAAGGTTAAATATAAAGAAAAAAGTGGTTTCCGTGGTTTTCAAAAGAATCAGCTCTAAATACAGAAATTCTAGGTGCAGACCTGCTAGGTCAATAACAAAATTTCATGAAATGTCATGAACGTCAATGCATCATTTAAATTATTAAATAAGTTTATTGATACATTTTTTTTTTCATTTGAAAAGTTAAAACTAGTATCAATTCAATTACACTTGCTTTAAATGAATTAAATTTGAGTGCCGTTAGAGAGTAACAATATAAGTTACAAATATTAAGATGTCAACTCAAATTCACAGGATGCGTGAAATGACAACAACACTGGATAAAAATAATCAACTTCTGCGTCAGATCATGCAAAAAATGGAAATCCACACAGAAGACGAGGCCTGGGATGAAGGGGCAGGACTTAGTGATGATAGCAATGATGAATTAAAATCCTCCAATAAACAGTACAACAGCAAATCTTTTAAAGAAAAAATGTATTTAAAAACTGCTATAGTGTCTTTTTGGAAAAAAGGCTTTTCCCAACTATAATTAAATTGCAACAATTGGCACAAGGCATTAAAAATATGGTTATTTTATTTTCTTAATAATATAAAAGATAAAATCTTTTTACTTCCTTTTTTAAATAAGCCCAGTGCAAAGTCTTTGCGGGCATTTTTAAAAAATATAAATTTTATTCAAACTAAATTTAGAATACAGAGTGAAATATATGTATAAAAATTTAAATAATTATTTTAGAATAGTAAAAAGTAATTTAGTGTATTACAGTTACACTTTAATGGGCTATGAATGATTATTTTTTTCTAAAAAATGGTTTAATATGTCCATTTGTAACATTTTAATAATACACTGGGTTTATTTTTAAAAAAATTAAACAAAAGGATTCCATTTTAACACGTTATGGTTTATGATTGTTTAGGACAAATAGAACTCTTTTTAAAAAGTAGACCTAACATGTTTGGGATAAATAAATGAAAAACATTTTACTTACATGACTTATAAGTCATGTGACTCTATTTATTTGTTAGAAATGACAGATTTTTGGGCACATTGTGTTAATATTTTTTTTAAGTTAAATAATTCAGTGACTCCCATTAGTGCTGTGCATAATTTTCTGCATTTAAACAAATGACTCACAAAGATTATTTTATTATAGTTTTCTGATTTCAAGGGTTTAAAAGTTCAACAATAATAATTAAAGTCTTTATGTTTCTTCAGCATGGCCTAACTTAAATATTTTGTAATGATGATCTAATAATCGCAAACCATTTGTTACCAGTCAATGTATACAGGACATCTGTAATTTGGAGCTCATTTTCTTAAATTTTCAATAATTTTCTGTACAGGAATTTTTAAAATTAAAAACCATTTTCGCTTATTTTGAGGAATATAATCAATGAGAAAAGAATAATTATTAGTTTCTATAATTTGTATATTCAAATGTAGTTAATAAATCAATATGTTGGATTCTAAGGTAATTTCACACCCTTATTGATGATCTAAGAAAACTGTGGTCACTAACCTCTTTTTATCAAGTCAGCTCCAACAAAGATTAAAATAAGCAAATTTATCATCCAGGTTTATGTGTAGTGTGTCCACATGATTGTTTGTGCATTTCACTTAGGGTCTTCTGACATTATTGTAGAAATGTCTCTTATTTAAGTATTTTTATTATTTGAGAGTTCTACTACTGCCACTTGAAATTAAATCAGAGATTAAAAATAAAATGTAAGTAGTATTTGTACAACACAATGCATATTATGTTTTTAATATCAACTATGTAAAAGCTACTTTGTGTATTTTTGTTTGGTTCAATTTTATTTCTCAGTGCATTTGCTCAATTATTGAACTTTTGTTATAATATATATTATAAAAATGGTTTAAATATTTACTGTGTGGATTTGTTAAACTATAATAATGTAGCTAACTTATTATTAAGTTGTTTATGTAGTCTATTTTAATTTTATAAGTTTTGCAAATTGGCTTCATTTGATTTTAAAAGTTTAGCAATGTAGTCATTGAAAATATTATTATGGCAGAGGCATACCCAGTATGTGACAAGACACAACAGCATGTGCTGTTGACACCACCTGCATGTGGTGGCATCAAATCAGTGAAAGAATAAAGAATTATTAAAATCTGACTGTGCATATAATTTAGTTAACTTGTATTGAATAAGTAATGTAGGATTATGTCCACCTTAATTTGAATTTTTGTTTCCTAAATCATAAGTTTATAAAATAGGTTTCTCCTAATTTTTTATTGGGGGTGTGGGGGGTGGGAAGAGGCAATTTTAGTTCTTGTTGTGGGTGCCATATATCCTTAGTACATCTCTGTATTATGGCAACATTTATAAAAATTTACTGATATAACTTCCCATCCAGATTTTTTAAAAGGTGGGCTAATGCTTTAGTCTTGTAATAGACACAAAAAGAGTTAGCTTTTCCTTAAATGGATATTTTTAAAAAAAAATTCTTTGTTTTAAAAAAAACAAATTGGCTATACCTAATTTTATTTGACATTTTATTGCCCCGTTGTTTATAAATATTAAATATTCTTATGATCAAGTAAATATATATATATATATATATATATATATATATATATATATATATATATATATATATATATAATATAAATGTATGTATTTTTCTATAAGAAAATATATTTTTATAATTAAGTATATATATATATATATATATATATATATATATATATATATATATATATATATATATATATATTTAAAACCTAAATCTGCATTTCTTTCCTTAAGAAATTAGTTAAACATGTAGCCTATTAAACTCTTCCAGAAATAAACAAACATGTTCTGGGCTGAATTCCTAATAAATATAATTTTGAAAATGTGAAATGACATGTTCTTTTTCATTTTTTAAAAATACAAATGTATTCTAGGCCTATGAATATTTCATTTTCTTAGCTCACTAAAAAGATCTGAAAAGATAATACGCTAGGACAAGGTTTTTTTGATGAATATTGTTGCCAATTCAGCCCTAACTTAATATGTATTACTGTCAAGACTTTGCCCAGGGAAAGCTGCCCCCACGTCAAAGCAAGAACATGGCGCCCCGGCTGTTTCATTAATAAAGGATATTTGACAAACTCACACATACACAAAGGCATGCGCGATCACACACATGCATACAAATAGAAATGTTAATATTCCAGAAATAAAAGTGCTGAAAGTCACATGCACAGTTGGATTACAATTTTTTTTATATTGACAAAGTATGGGGGTTCTTCAGTAACAATTAATATTTTCCAAAAATCAGCGCGGATAAACTTTACGATGCCAGTGCAAAACAAACATGTCCGACCACAAAAAAACTAGCCGTGGAGAGCGCTTCCTTCTAAATATACTCTGCTTGTAGATTAAACGGATGTGGCAAGAATGTCTACGAAAACAATCTTTGAGTACAAAGATGCTGATGAAGCTAAATATTCCAATGAAACTTAACAATTTACCATTTTTTAATAAAACTTCCAAAATCCAAATCAACCATATCAACTCGAGGTTAGAAAAAGCTTGGACTCGTAATTAGTAGCAAAATAAATGTTAAAGGAAATTCTTGGAGTGGACCTTCAATTTAAAAAAAATCCTTCGAGTATTGATAAAAATTTAAAAAAACAACGGATTCACGAGTGGATGACACAATCACTGTATACAACAACCCACTAACTGGGTCTGCAGGATGAAACTCACAATAGGTATAAGTATAAGATATAACAATGAAGTTAAAGCAAGGATCAGTTAACGAAGCAAACCACTGGAGTGTTGACAACAAGCCTTTAGGAGAGCAACAAATCTGATAATACATACCTAGACCAGAATCTGTAAATGCTTTTATAAGATCTCAACAGTGGCGTAGAAAAGGGAGCGAAAATATCGGCCCGCCCCGGGTGGCACTATCCTAAACTGCGCCACTGCCTCTGTATGGAGCAAAGCAGGCCTGCACAACTCAAAATGTAAAGCGGGTCGAAATACTTTATGAAAACTTGTGCAGTGCTGAAAGAAAATAGAACTGGGTTAAGCTATTAAGAAAATAATAATACAAAATAATATTTCGTTACTTCGCGGGCCGCAAAGTGAGTGCTAGCGGGCCGCAGAAGTGGGTACTGGCGAGTCGCATGTGGCCCGCGGGCCGTTTGTTGTGCAGGCCTGGAGCAGAGTGATGGTATGTCTACGTCAGCAGTTTAAAGTTTTCCACGCCAAATTAAATGTTTATTGTGGTTCATAGCATCTTCTGACCAAAGCCAACTCTGAGTTTAAAACGCCAAAAATGAGAGACAATTACTCCAGAACCTATGCAGGCACCCCACTGAAGATGGTTTGGTTATGTCACTAGTGTGTCACTCGTGTTATCTTCACAGACACTGCCCAAACCAGCAATCCGATTGGTAACAAAGATCTTCGTAAAAAAAACTTAACATGAGAAAAAATATCTAAAAATAGCAGTCAAAATACAGTAGTGGCATTACTTGGCAGTTGCTATAACTATAGGCATAAGTCAACGTATGAGATCAAAAGGAATCATACATTTTACAGATATTGCTGAACAGAATTGGTCGGAAGTCGAAGTAATATTTTAGTGAACAATTCTTTCAAAAAGATCTTCTAAGGCGTAAGAAATACTGACCATCAGTGGCGTAACTATGGTTTGTGTCACCCGGTGCTGTTAACTCAAGGTGTCATCCCCCCCCCCGACGTCCATGATGTATTTCTTCTAGAACAGAATTGGTAGGAAGTCGAAATAATATTTTAGTGAACAATTCTTTCAAAAAGATCTTCTAAGGCGTAAGAAATACTGACCATCAGTGGCGTAACTATGGTTTGTGTCACCCGGTGCTGTTAACTCAAGGTGTCATCCCCCCCCCCCCGACGTCCATGATGTATTTCTTCTTGTTAAAATAAGTCCACAGTATAACAATGACAAGAAAAAAAAACATCAATCGAAGGTCATGTGGTAAATGTATTTAAAAACTGTAACAACGTTTAGTTATAGTTATTTTTACATTAAATTTACTTTATTTAAAATTTTCATATCCTTGTCTTCAAAGCTGCAAACCTGTCAATCACTTGATCAAAATCAATGTCCTTCACTGTATCACTTTCAATGGATAGCAGAGCCTTATCAGAAAGCCTAGACCAGGGGTCTCAAACTCAAATCATCCGGGGACCGCATGGGGTAGAGTCTGAGTGAGACTGGGCCACATCAATTATTTCCTCAAAAAAAAAGCGATTACAATTGAATCAAGTACAAAAGTTGCAATCTTCTCAACCTTTATTAATAAAACACAAAAACATTAAGGGTTCTCAAGAACTAGACTTCACTTTCTTACTCCCACTCCTTGGTGCCAGTGACCTGGCTAAGCTTCTTCTTACACAGCTGAGCAACATTTGGCTTGTGAGGAAGCAACTGAGACACTCAGTATAACTTGAAGATGCTCATCAGTAAGTTCTGCCCTGAACTTTGACTTGTTAAAGTTCATAGTGAAAAAGAGCTTTTCACACAGATAGGTACTCCCAAAAAAAGGCACAATGTCCACTTGAACAACCTGGAAATCTCAGGGAAGGTGGAGGGCAATACTCTCATAAATTGTCTATGCTCGTCTGTTTTTCCATTGACCTCCCAGAATTTAGAATAGCACTAAAA